CTCCAGGGCTGTTCTGAGGCTAGGGGTGACATCTTGATACAAAGAAGCAAAGTATGGCATCAATAATTTAGCTGCTTTAGCTGTTATCCTGGAATAGCTCAGCTTAACCTCCTCCAGCACTCTCTTCTACCCCTTCCCCCAATCTCCTACTCATTTCCTTTAGAGAAACAATGTAAATTGGCTTCATGCTGAACAAGAGATAAGCATGTCTTCTTTTACTGAGCCCATTCTCCCTGCCTGTGCCTATATGGTCTCTGCCAAGAGCAGCTGGTGACAAGCCCACTTAGATGGCAGGTCAGTAAGTTAGATATGGAGCTCCTCTGAGGGTTGTGCCTGAGGCAGGATGCTTTAGGGATTAGCTACCTATATAGCTACAGAGCAAGTGACCCAGCACTTGGTAGCTTCAAATGACAAATATGTATTATTCCAGTTTTTGAGATTCAGGAGTCATGGACCAGCTGGGGGCCTCTGTTCAGGAGGCTGCAGGTCAGAGTGAGCTGGGGATACAGTCACCCCTAGGTTCTTCTGGAGGTGAGGACTGACTTTCAAATACACTCGCATGGTGATTGAAAAGCTGCAGAAGACAAATGCCCAAGATCTTGCATGTAGCTGCTATCAGGCTGTTTCCTCTCCACAAGGTCCCTGGTAGGCTGCTTGTGTCCCTCTAGGGTATGACAGATGGAGTTTGTGTGTGTGTGTGTGTGTGTGTGTGTGTGTGTGTGTGTGTGTGTGTGTAAGAGAAAGACACATTCAGAGGAGAATGAATGAGAGGGGCTGGAGGAAAAAAAAACAAACACAAGTTCAGAGAAGAAATGACATATTCACAAATAATCGTTGGTTGCTCCTTTTCTATAGGTTATGTTCTATTCATTACAATCAGGGCATTAGGGCATTAGATTGATTGGGCCTATCCTCACAGAGAGCTGTGTGTATCTCCCAGAGATCACCTGGACCAGACTGTCTGTCTTTGTGGGGGCTGGCATGGGAAGACTAACTTTTTTTAGTATAACTTTTTTCCATACAATGGAAAGAGCTCTGCTGACTTCCATGTGGCCTCCCCCTGCTATGACTTAGAGCCTGCATTTCCTCCATGAAATAAAGGTGCAGCCTAAGCCAACTGGCCTTACATGGGGATGACTGGAGGCTAAGCTGTACATTTGCATATATAGAGCTTCCAAATTTGATATGCAGGGTAGGACAAGGATGGAATTGGGATTCCCCTAAGGGAGCAATGGGTGAGAAGGGCAAAACTCCATCAGAAAGCCACAAAGAACCCCAACTAAGCTCTCTAACCCATCCTTCTATCTAGACATGGTGGGACCCTATGATTCCAGGGCTCAGGAGGATCACAAGTTTGAAGCTGGTGTGGGTTACATAATGTAATGAGACTCTGTCTCAAAAACCAAGAAACCACTGCCAACAACAAAATTCCCACCTTTATCCAATTCTTCTACAGGCCTGGATAGGAAGGCATTCATTCATTCACTCATTTATTCATTCCACTCACTCATTCATTCATTTCTCACCCAATCCTTCATTAAGTCCCTGGTATGTTTAAGTTCCCTTCTATTTAATAGGAGGACTCCTATGAAACATGCATTACTCACTCCTCTGTGAGGAAGAGGAAACCGAGGCTCAAAGAAGCAAAACAAACCAAACACCTCTGTGAACTTACACAGCCTTTGGGATGAAACCATGCCCTGTGCCCACACAGAGCACCTGCTGTCACTCTGCACAGCCTCTCTGGACAATCCCAGTTTGTACGATCGGCACAGCATTTGCCTCTGTTTCACACACCTGCATGTTTCGTCACACTATGCTGCACCTGCCTTGTCTTGGCATTGGATATGTTTTCCATAGCTCATTCCATGTTTAATTTTATTTTAAAATGAATTCCCAAGCTGAGCAAGGTGGCAAACACCTGAAATGTGTAAGCTGAGGCAGTCTGTAAACTGCCTCCCTGAGCTTGGGAGAAACAGGCATGAGGATTTATGCAAGTTCAAGGCCAGCCTGACACTTGGTGAGCAATAAGCCATTCAGTTCTACACAACAAGACCCTGTCTCAAGAAAAGAAGATGAAGAGGAAGAGGAAGAGGAAGGGAAGGGAATGAAGGAAGGAAGGAAGGAAGAAAGAGGAAATAGTTTTTAACATTCCTAAAAACTAGATTTTGAGCCTGAGGATATGGTTCAATTGGTACAGGGCTTGCCAAATGAAGCCCTGGATATGATCCCTCAAACCAGAACATGATTTTGATGCCAGTCTCTACTGACTGCCCGTTGGCTCTGTGAAGCCCAAGTATGTTGTTACAGGGTTCCAGGGAACATCAACTGTCAGCACTTTTGAATAAGAAGTCACCTGGGCAGTTTGGGGAGTAACTTCTAAAGATGACCCAGTCTATAAGAGGGAGGAGCCAGCTGAGTATGTAATCTCAGCTGGGCCCAATATCCTCAGGGCTGGGCATGTGCTTAGCCACAGCTCAGCTTAGGGACTGCCTCTCCTGATACTACTGAAGACAGGACAGGTAGGAATGATGCCAGAATCTAGCCTGTGGTAAAGATGGAAGTTTTCTCTGGCTCATACAAGGGAGGTGACAATGTGTTTGCCAAAGAGTGTGAAGGAGTAACATGAAAGAAGGAAGGTAGGGAAGTGAGCATTGTACCATCTATGGCTCCCAGCACTTCCCATATCAGGCCTCAGTCTGGCCATTAGAGACCTCTGTGACTCCACTCTCATGGCATATTCAGTTCATGTTTAAGATCATAGCCTTTTCTCGAAGATGCCCTAACTAACCCCAGCCTGGACTGTTTGTTGTTGGCTCATCCTTCCCCCCAGAATGACCTCTTCCCATTCTTGTGCCCTGTTGTACCCAGAGGTGGTCATGTATACACTGATTCCCCAAGGTGGAAATCACTCCCCCTTGTCCCCTGTGTTCCTTTACTACTAGTTATCTCATTTTCTGTCTTCCTTTGCTATCCCTCCAAGTCTTGTCTCTCGCCCTGCCTCAGTCTTGCTCCCCGATGACAGCCAGGCCGGTTTGGCATGCAATAACCCTGATTCTGAAGTCAGACAAACTGCCCTTGACAATTCACTAGCACAGTGTGGGTCCTGGGAAAGGGATCTTCTTCCTGAACTACCAGCTGGTCTGAGGCTGTGGAAGGCTGTGGGAGGGGGGAGAATCATGCAAATGAGGGCAAGTTCTTGTCTGGGGTGGGAGTGTGCATACTTTATCACAGTAGCAGAGAGATTGAGCCTCCACCTCCACCTCTGCAGACTTGAAAAACAGCTAGTTTCTAGTTTCCTCAGTTCCCATTTCAGGTATGTTAAAGGCTGTAGGTGCCAAGGCCTAGAACTGGCTGCAGGAAGCCTGGGGCTTTTGAATGCTTTCTAACAGTGCATGTGTGGTGACCCCTCTCCAGTCCTTTCAAGTCCAAGTATGCATTGCTGCTGCATAGGTGTAGAATATGTGCCAATGGCTCCAGCAGAGGAGAGAACAAGTGAGTTTTCCATGCAGGCTGCTCACTTTGGTATCCACTGACAAGAAAAGAGAGGGTTGTGCTGGAGAGATGGCTCAGTGGTTAAGAGCACTGGCTGCTCTTCCAGAGGACCCAGGTTCAGTCCTCAGTAACCACATGGCAGCTCACAAGTGTAACTGCAGTTCCAGGAGATCCTAAACCCTTGTACAGATGTACATGCAGGCAAAACATCAATGCATACAAAATGAAAATAAACTGTTAAAAAAAGAGGGGGCACTCTGTGGGGTTGGGCGCCATCCACCCCTAGACTACAGCCTGGGAAACAGCCCATCAGGCTAGTAGCACAAGGCATAGGGCTGACAAAGCACTGGACTGTGACCCTTCACAAGAGGGGTCAGGCTGGCTCCCTGACTTTGGATTTGCTTGGACCAGCCTACCTGCTGGATGCCTTCCCACAAGCTGATTCTTGGATGGGGCAGGCCAAAGTCCTCTGCCCCCAAGGCTCAGCCCCTCTCCTTCTCTTGTTTCTTAGGCTGTTGAGACCTTGCAGTAGGGATCCCCCACCCACCCAGCCCCAAACTATACCTGCTTCAATCAGTCTAGGCTACGCCCATCACTGTTGTCCATGGTATAGTGTTTAACAGTGAACAAATGCTTCTCTTGTTTATTTATCCCTAGAACAGGTGTGAATGAAAATCAGGGTGAATTTCTCCTTGCTTCCTTGCAGAAGGACTGGTGCAAACCAGCAGTAGGGAGCCAGGGTTCTCTAGCCTTAGCTAGAACTTTTTTTCTTTCTGAGCCTCAGTTTCCCATCTGAAGACCAAAGATGTTGGCCCACGTGCCCTCATTTGCTGGCATTCATTTGCTTCCCAGGCTGCTGTTATGCCCAGTTAACATGGGCCTGAATCCCTGGCTGTGGCTCCCCTGCAACGCCTTTCACTTTGCATCATCCATTGCTAACTTCCTGGCTTAAGAAGCCACCTGCAGGACCAGTCCAGTTGGCAAAGACGTGTGTATTCCAGGTGAGTGCTAGTGGGTGTAGACATAATCTGGCACCTCCCTGGCCTGGCTGGAAGTGGTGGGGACAAGGGTAGTCAGTGTGAGAGGAGGAGGAACTGGGACTGAAACCTGGCAGGTACACCATTGAGCATGCTGCATTTTCAGTTTTGCTGGTGGAGGGTCGAATCTCAAGAAGCAAATGGAGATAGATTCAGTCCAGGATCCAGAAGCCTGAATGTCTTGGAAAGGTATCTCTGCTTATCTGTTCTTTCTGTTATCTTTCCCTTTCTAATCCGCCTTAGAGCCCCTCCTTGTCTTTCTGACTCTCAGGGTCAGCATCTCTCTTGCTTTATAGAGAGGCGTTTTCAAAGTAACTTCCCGCTCTGTGTACACAGATGGGAGGTGTGGTACAGTACACGAACTGATTGAGCTGCGCAACGACGCCAGCAGGGGTCGCTAGCGAACAGTCTCTGATGGGGCGTGGCGGAGGCTTGAGCGAAGGGGGCGTGGTCCTGAGCCAGCCAACCAATAAAGGCAGCGGCGCGTGGCCTAGGTATCGCTTCCTGGGTCGTGTGACCTTGCTGCTTGAGTTCTTCGCGCTCCTTTGCCCGGCCTGTGACCACGATGCTGGCTCTGCGCTGTGGCCCCCGCCTGCTGGGCCTGCTCTCCAGTCCGCGCTCCCCACCGCTGCTCCTCTCCGCGACCCGCGCCTGCAGCGACAGCGGAGCACGCGACCCGAACTCCTCCTCCCGGAACCCGCTCGTGTACTTGGACGTGGGCGCCGATGGGCAGCCGCTGGGCCGCGTGGTACTGGAGGTGAGGACCCTGGACCCGACCAGCCTGGTTTGAGCTTAGGGCAAACCTTACTTTCGGGGCCCGTTCTGCCCCTAGCACGCCGGGTGACCTTGGGCCTCTCACTTCCAAACCCTGAACCTCAATTTCCGTTTCTCAGAGAAGCGACATCAGTTTGGTCTATTCCAGGGCGCTTCAACACTCTGAGGAGGGTGGAGGCGTGAGGGAGGGCTTGTGTGGATGAAAAGGTCAAGGTCAGATCGCACTGAGTGACACCTCACTGGCGGGCCAATGCCCGCCAGTGAGGGCATTGGGTTTCCGAGCACCTCTGAGTCCGAAGCTGGACCCAGAGCTCCTGAGGTTTGTGTCTAAGGCCCAGGTGTTGCCCGGTGCTCACGTAGTGGCCTGAGTTTAACGCCCAGTACACCCCGGATCCACCCCCAGGGCCTGGCTACTTAGGAGGAGGCATCCCAGGAATGCAAGTGTGAAGTTGGTTCAGCTGGGAGCCCAATCCTCTCTCTGAGGTCCAAATTGGGCACTAGCTCCTGTTCGACCCAAGACAAGTAGGAAACAGTCACCAAGGTATCAGGAGGCCATAGTATTGCCTTCAGGCTATTCCACTTTAAACAAAGAGACCAGTTAGCTTGACTGATTGACTTATTGGCAAAGGAGGGGCTTGGTGTTTATTGTTACTCCTCAGTTTTTCCATTTGGTGAAGAGGGATTTTTGTTGTTTTTGTTTTGTTTTTCAAGACAAAATTTCTCTGTATAGCCCTGGCTGTTCTGGAACTTGCTCTGTAAACCAGACTGGCCTTGAATAAGGCACCACCAAGGGGTTCTGAATGAGAAGCTGAGAGGCAAGAGCAGGCTTGGATGGGGATGCAGTGTTTCCTTAACTGTCCCTTCCTTCCCTTCTGTGAGCCTCAGTTTCTCTCTGCACTAAGGAACAGCAGGTGGTTTATGATACTCTTGGTCCAGGAACTCATGCTTAGGACCTCCAGCTGCCAATTCTGCCAGGGCCAGGATGACACTGGTCTCTTCTGATAAACAAGAAACTGAGGCTGCCTCCAGCAAGCCTTGGGTTCAGGAAGCAGCTGCCAGAAATGATAGCTGCTTTCCTGTTGTAGAAGGGTTGGTGGTCGTAGGAAAGGAGTGGTCCTGTGGTTCTTTCCCAGGATGCCTTGGCCACTAGGTGTGAGTGGCGAGGGGGCTCTTTCCTGCACCTGCTTCTGGACTAACCATCCTTTTTTGTTACTTTTTCCTCCCACAGCTAAAGGCAGATGTCGTGCCAAAGACAGCAGGTAAGGCAAAGGTGGAAAGTGAACCAGGCAAGGCTGATGGGCTTGGGGAAGGAGTTAGGGCTCAGACTATGACAATGTGGGGGTTTTCAGGGGAAGGCTCATGTAAGCTCCCAGAGATAGCTTCCAATTCCCTTTTACATGATGGCATGGGGCAGGGTTAGGTACATAGTCTTTGGGCTGCTTGCCCTGTTATTCTGACTGGCACAGCTTAGAGCTTGTATTCTAGCCACAGTGTTTGCCACTGGGTCAAGGCAAGGAAGTATGTGATCAGAAACAGACTCAGGAGGAGGGGCAGGGTGTCTCTACACATACCACTCCTTGGGAGACTGGCGGGGAGGGGTGGCCTGTCCATAACCTCTCCCTCTTTCTTCAGAGAACTTCAGAGCCCTGTGCACTGGTGAGAAGGGCTTCGGCTACAAAGGTTCCACCTTCCACAGGGTGATCCCATCTTTCATGTGCCAGGTAACAGTAATACAGCCTCCCCTGTGAACAGAGCTGGCAATAAGAGATTCCCTGGGGTGGGGTGTGGGGGTCAGCAAGCATGGCCCTGTGCATGGTAGAACACAGCAGGAGGCTGTCCCCACCAGAGTTGGACAGTCTCTAATCTTGGCATTCTGTGTACCCCTGAGCATTGGGCATGGGAGGAGAGAGGATGCGAAGAAGATAGCTAAGTCAGGATTACACATGCTTGGACTTGGAGATGCCTTCCTGGTGAAGGAACTTTTCTCGGTTCCATGAACACATTCTTTAGTCACATGTTCTTCCTGTTTTACAAACTTGTAAGTATTGCTGCATCAGGTTTGGGGGTAGGTGTTACAAGAGAAACTTCTTGGGCAGACTCAAGGTCAGGGGTTAATGAGGTCAGGATAGCTAGAGATGGTTATAGATGTCAGGGCCTCTCCAAAGTCCTTTCTGCCTATTCTTTCCACTGTAACCAAGTAGCAGTGGGTTGGGGCTGTGCCTTCTGACACTATATGGTGCCTGGTTACACACTGGGTGTGATGAAGTGAAGGTGAGACAGACAGGGCTGTGGCTAAACCCAGCCAAGCCCTTTCTGCTGCAGAGGTTCCCAGCTCCATCTGGGGTTGGTGGATGAGGTGGGCACTAAGGTGGGTAGCTGGAGTCAGGAAGGGGCATGCAGATTGGGAGAGCCTTTTCTGGCTTCCAGTAGTGGCCTCTGGAAGCAAGGTGACTGGGGACACCTTGTTGGTATTCAGTTCACACTTCTCACTCCAGAGTCCTCAGAAAAACCAGTGTGGCCATGGCCAACAACTGGGCACAGAGTTGCTCCTGTACTCTTCTTCCCAGGCTGTCTGGACCTTGGACAGGCTCCCTGAGGAAGGTTCCCAGCCCCTGCGTGTTATGTGTCTACAAGTCCTTTGGGCTTGAGCTTTGGGAGGATGATGCCAGGGCAAAGGAGGGAAGCCAGCCTGGGGAACTGACCTCTGGCTGCAGCCCATCTCTGTCTGAGACCAAGACCCTGGTCTCCTGCTTGTGGACCTCGTAGGAACTGTGGGTTGAAAATTAGAACACCTCAGGCACTGGATTACTGAAAAATGAACCCAGACAGGAAACCAGACTTGTCATGGTGTAGCTTTGGCCATTTTATCTCAGGCACTGGATGGTTGTTGGCCCCTTTGCTGAGGGTGGGCCTTGGGTGGGTTGGGGCTGCCTTCTTAGGGGACCCACACTATCAGTTGTGTGATAACCAGTTATAAGGCATTCTGTGTGCAGGCTGGAGACTTCACCAACCACAATGGCACAGGAGGGAAATCCATCTACGGAAGCCGCTTTCCTGACGAGAACTTCACACTGAAGCACGTGGGGCCAGGTATGTGGGACTGTGAGCCCCTCTCTAATGCTTTCTACAGTTCCATCTGGACGCTGCCACAGCCGGCTGCCTGGGGAAGCTGTGGTCCCCAGTTGCCTGACATCCATCCCATCATGCTCCTCCTGTCAGCACCCAGGCAGTTCAGCATTTCTAGCTTATTAGGTTTCTTTCCCAAGGGATTTCCCATCTTTAGTTCTGTAAAAGCCAGGTTTCCTATTGTAATTCCAGCATTTGGGAGGCTGAAACAGGAGAACCCAAAGGTTGAAGCCATCTTGGGCTACATAGGGATACCTGTTTCAACAAACAAAAGCAAACTTCCTTATACAAACTTTGATCAAGGAGTCTTTTTTAAGCAGAGCCCAAGGAGTGTGGGAAAGCCAAGAGGCTGTATCTGGGGTTCCAATCAACTCTCCTGCTGTGAGATCCCTGAAGTCCTTCCATCTCAGCCTCTCCCATAGAAAGCTAGTTGACAGTCAAGGCACACAAGCTCCAGGGTCTGGATGTTAACACTGGTTCTCTCTGGTTCCAGGATCTACAGGTTCACATGTCCTTGATGAGTGTGAGCCATCTCTTCTTCCAAGACCCCTTCATTTGAGGGGTCTTCTGGGTGACTCAGCCTCTCTCTGCTTGTCTTACAGGTGTTCTGTCCATGGCAAACGCAGGCCCCAACACCAATGGCTCTCAGTTCTTTATATGCACAATAAAGACGGACTGGTGAGTAGTTCACGCTGTAGGACCTCTGAGGATGAAGCTAGAGGAGGTCTGTGCACAGTCAGGAGGGCAGTGTGCAGCTAGACCATCTGCCTGGGCCAGTGACTTGTTTCTCATTGTGCAGGGAGAGAATTGAGGGACAATTTGGGTTGTCCTATGACTGTCACACCTGTGCCTCCCAGTGGTGATGTTGACTAGAATTTGATTTGTGTCACACCTGCACACATACACACATGAAAGGGTTCCTCTATCCCACATTTGGGGGAATGCTTCAGTAAGTGACCTCACAGTGGTCTGAGTAGAAGCCACTTTGCCTGACTTAACCTGATCTTCCTTGGCATACCTCCCCTGCAGAACATGCTTGTGGGATTCTGGGTATTGAGGCAGGTTTCACTCAAACGCCATTAGGATGGCTTCACATGCCCCACCCCCAATCTCTCCAGCCCCCTTTCCCATAGACCCATGCTGTCTAGGAGGAGTAGATTTTCCCTGGTAAAACCTCCACTAAACAGTACCTTCCTCTACACAGAGTCCTTAGTGTTCCAGATTTCAGGTCCCTGGACTTGAGAGGCAGCAGCTGACTGAGAACTTCAGAAAGCCTGTTTCCACAACTTTAAGAAAACCTTAAGTGATAGGATGACATTTGCCAAGCCATGCAGGGCTGCCAGGGCTGGGCAGGTTGTTGCTGGCCCTTTTTTTTTTTTGCTTCTTCCATGGAAGCCTTAATGGACCTTGCTTGCAGTTCTGTCCCTGAGTCCCTGGCCCTTGGCTTGCCTGCTGAACTAGTTCTTTTGAGCAGTTCTGTGCCCATCATTTTCCTGGGAGGAATAAGAATAGCTCACTTCTCATAGATAAGGTCACCAAGATTCAGATCAAGCTGCCAGGTCAAAGCCCAAGGTGACAGAACATGTCCTGTAGCATCTGCTGGAACACAGCTGGGGATCTCACAAAGCTTTGGGGGGGTAGGCGTGTTCCTTTGGCAAACAATTCTGTACTTGGTGGCTGATACACTGGATGTTTTCTTACTTGGCTCAACCCTCCTCACAGGCTGGATGGCAAGCATGTGGTGTTCGGCCATGTCAAAGAGGGCATGGATGTTGTGAAGAAAATTGAATCTTTTGGCTCCAAAAGTGGGAAGACATCTAAGAAGATTGTCATCACAGACTGTGGCCAGTTGAGCTAAGTTACAGCCAAGATGCTAGGACAGTAGCAGCCACCCATGTGCTCTGAGCCTCAGGTGCCCCAAAGAACTGTTTATGTCCACATCCCCAGCTGAGTATGAAGAATGCTACTCAGGTACATGGTCCTTCACAGGACCAGGCTGCTCTCGACTGTCCATCCTTCCTCAGATCCTGTTTCTGAGCATCAGTGTGGCTAATGGGCCATGTACTCTCTCAGCAAGTGTCCCCATGAGCCATTTATGTGTGCCTTGGACATTGGCATTGATGACTAGTTAGCATCCAGAGGAGGGTCCTGACTTTTTCCTTTTTCCTTGACCAGTAGGGACAGCAGTTGCTATTTAATGTCTTCCTCATTGCAATAATTTAATACAATTACATAGAAAGAAAACTGTGACACTAACTGCACTCTACTCTGTGATCTGAGTTGGCACAAGCTACAACACTCTCCCCTCCCCCAAGCTTGGCTTCGGAGACTTCACTCAGGGCTCTTGTGAAAGTTCCTCATGGTTACTGTGAATCCTGCTGGTTAGCTGCTGTGACTTTTGAAGGGAGCCTGTGGGATAGAAGCAACTGGACCTGGGGGCAGATCTGTGTGCTGGGGCTGTCTGCTCAATGTGAATTCCTGTGTTCAAAACTGCCCATGTGCATACTGTCTTCAGGAGGAACCTGGCCTGTATGTTAAATAAATCCAATCTATCAATGATAATATATGTAAAAGATTTCTGGAACAGTCCTGTGTGTTCATTTCAAATGTAATAATAAATCCTATTTTCTATAAAACTGCTGTCTCTGCCTTTAGTGAACAACCTGAAACTTAAGTGTTTGGGGCTTGTTTGTATGGTCTGGACTGGCCTAGAACTTGCTGTGTACTCTTGGGTTGCCTCAAAAACTCTTGATCCTCCTGAATGCTGCTTGGGTTACAGGCATGTACCTTTGTATCCAGCTGGAGCCAACTTCTAAGTTACCGTGTGTAACATCCAGTCTCCACAGCCCCCACCACAAGCACTACTTCTAGGCAGAGTCCCAGCTCTGTTCAGTGACCAAGCTTCAGCTGAGTAATATGTGCATGACACCTAGATCACAAATTGGGTGTGACCCATGTCAGGTGCATGGCCTTGGGCCTGATGTCATCCATAGCAAGCTCTGGGTAATGACATAAGGATGACATTCTCCATGTATCAGATCCTTAGGGAAGGGGTCTTGCCTAAGCAAGGAGCTGAGGTTATGAAAAGTTAGGAATGTGGTCCCCTGCCAATGGTAGGCCAGTGAAATTTGGAATTCTTCATATTGCTGAATTTTGGGGGAGGGGAGTGTTGAGGTGAGCAGATGACTAAGAGTTCCTTAGGTGCTATGGCAAGTCAGTAGCTCCTAGAGAAGGGACTTGGGCTCTGGCTGGGGTGAGTAATGCATTCATTTGGTATGGAATTCCTGAGTCAGGTGGTGTGAGGTTATGAGTGGGATTGGTCACTCTGAGGTCACGGTAGCCAGGCTGAGTCTTTCAGAGTCATGGAGTTTCCATGAAGCCATTGTCAGCTCCATGGGTTAGGAGCTTCCCTGGAATAGTGTAGTTTCAAAGCAATTCTGAGAGCAACAGGCATCCTCAGAACACCCAAGTGTGATGGTGTGAACCCTGAGGCCTGTGTCTACTCTCCAGTTCTTTCTATGTTGGGGCTGCCAAGGTATTTTCCTTGAGAAGCAGATCTCAGTTGAATAACTGATAATTGCTCATGAAGCGCAACAGCTTGTTGGTAAGTAAACTGAAGCTACAGGCTGGCTGGATTGTAACTAATCTAGAGAATGCTATCAAGACAGTTGGCAGAGGGCAGAACCCTGAGTTGTCAGCACAGAATGTACACACAAAAGGATTCTTAGAGGGTCACACGAACACTTTACCACTGACTCTCAACACCTCACCTCACCTTTTTCTTTATTTTTCATAATGGCCTTGAAGTTACTCTATAGCCCGGGCATCAACTTTGAATTTGTGATTCTTCTGCCTCAGTCTCTTAAGTAGCTGGGATTATGGGCCTGGACCCAGCCCCCAACCACTTTAAGCAATTTACTTTAAAAATAAAGTGTTTTTAAAGCATCTATTTATTTGTAAATCTATACATTTGCTCATTTTATGATTTTTTTTTTTCTGGTGCTTCGGGGTTAAGTCTGGGCCTTGCCAATGCTAGGTGGATGATCTATTACTGAGCTGTACTGTCTTCCAGAGCACAGGTCAAAGATGTGCTGTTGTCTTCTCTGGAGTTGCCTGCTGACCTGCAGTGCTCCAAGTGTCGGTGACAAGGTGAAGGGAAAGCTAGTTTCCTTGAGCTGTAACCAGCTTACTGTCAACTTCTAAAAAAGGTTTTAGAGTTAGAAGGTGGAAGGAAGGGCTTGTGTTTTCTTCTCACTGAGGATATGTATGTGTGCTGTGTCTCCATCCAGCGGAATCTAGGGGTACAGCAAGCATGCATGAATTTTCTAGAAACCACTCCCCAAAGGCAAAGGCAAGGTCGTCCTCTGAGGTTCTGTCCGCCCTGCAGAGGTCTAACAAGGTGGTTTTTTTTTTTTTGTGCAGAATCATTTTAAGTAACATCAAAAAACCCAGCTTGTTGCTGGCCAGTACCTAATCAGTATCCTTCAGTACCTAATGCATGCATCAGTGTGGCCCTCAGTACCTAATGCATACATCAGTGGTGAGCCTGCTTGTGCTTCCTAGATGCCATCATATGTGACACCTTATGTGTTAAAAAAAAAACCCAAAACATCACTTTTCTTGGATGCATGATAGCTTTTCAAATGACTTCACTGAGGTAAAATTTGCATACAGTAAAATTCACACATTTTAATTGTACCACTAATGATTTTTGAATACCACATCTACTGATTAATGACCATCAGTTCTGTCATTATACGATGAACTTTGCCTGTTCTAGAACTTTGTGTGGAAATGGTGTCAAACAGGGGCCATTATTCTGCACCCAGCATTACTATCATAGTGCATGGAAGATTTTAACACAGTGGGTTCTCAACCTGTGGGTTGCAACCCCATCAGGGTTGACAGACACATTCTCAGGGGTCACATATAAAATATTTGCATTATGATTCATACAATAGCAAGATTACAGTTAGGAGGAAGTAGCAACAAAAAATACTTTTATGGTTAGGGCCACTAAAACATGAGGAACTGTATTAAAGGGACATAGCATTAGGATGTTTGAGAACCACTGCTCTAACACATGTCTGGGTTCTGCAGGACTTTGCTTCATGAAAAGCAGTTTCTGCAAATGTTTCCTAGATGTAATAAGGCCTAAGGCCTGGGACTCACAGGGTCCTGTGGAAGCATGCAGTCCCTGATCTGCTTTCTTAAGACTGGATTTCACCTGAGCTGGTTTTAAACTCAAGATATCTTTTGCTTCTGCTTTCCAATAGCTAGGACTGTTGGTGAATGCTGTGGGAAACAGTAAAAGGCACTTTGCTTTTGGGTCATTTATTTAATATTGCGCGCGCGCGCGTGTGTGTGTGTGTGTGTGTGTGTGTGTGTTGTGGCACTGGGGATCAAACTCAAGACCTTATACAAGCATTCTGCTGCTGAACTACAACTTAGCCCAATTGGGGGCTACTGAATTGGAAACCAGCTGTGATTTAGTTCAGGGATGCCAAGCTGGCATAACATTAGAAAAATCAAATAATATTAGAGTAAGACCCCAAAGTTAAAGAATTTTGATACTACAGAAGAAACTTTTACAAAGCACAGAAACATAGCATCAAGCTGCCTTCTACACACTTACCCTTATCCCCATAGACTAGTGCAGCCCTCACCCCTCATGCAGTCACAAATCCAGACCCACAGATCCAAGTTCAGAGAACCTTTCGCAGAATACTCAGCCTTGAATGGGACATCTACATCATGCTCCCTCTCTACTAGACTCAGGGAGCACGTGGAAGACAAAACAGGAGGATTGTATTGATTTCATGTATTTATTAGAATATGACACCATTTTGAGATCAATGAGATGGCTCTTCAGGTAAATAAGGCCTTGCCACCAAGCCTGATGACTCAAGCCTGATCCCCTAGAACCTACGTGGTGGAAGGAGACAACTGACTCCTACAAGTTGCTCTCTCACCTCCACACATGTGTTGTGTGACATGTGTGTGCTTATAACATGCACAATAGATAAGTGTTTTTAAAAAGGAAATACAAATGGCCAGTAGGTACATGAGAAGACACTCTAAATCATTAGTCATTAGGGAAATGTAAATCAAAACTACAATGAGATACTTTATACCTACTGAAATGAGTAATATAAAAAGTCAGATAGTACCAAGTGTTTGCAAGGATGTGGACACATTCTAACCTTCATGTACTGATGATCCAGCCAACAGTTCCCTCAGATGATTAAACAGACTCACCATTTACCCAAGAGAAATGAAGATATGTATCCACACAAAAAGTCATATGGCTGTTTATGTGTGGTTACTAATACTGAGCAAAAGTTAAAGCAAACTAAATGTCCATCTTCATGAGTACATCTGTGCCTGCTTACAAAAGATTATCATAGCTGGGCTTGTTGACTGTTGACATTCCTTATAGAAGGAGAGAACAGGGAGGAGTCATGGGACCCCTCTCCTGAGTATTCAAAAACTTTTCCCAATTGGTTGGGTGCAGCTCTACCCTAATTGAACATGGCTTCAGGGTCTCAGGAAAGGCCTAGGGTATAAGCTGGGGAAGACTAGAAGAAGGGGACCTCCATCTGTGAAGCTATAGGGAAACCATCAACCTAGGCTAGACAAAGACTGTGGTTGCTTTGGGTCATCCATATCCTGCCCATGATTTTTCTCCCATGCTCTGTGAGCAATCCTAATAAACTTCATTAGTTCCCTAAATGGCTCTTTGGTGGAATCAAACTCTGGTTTGTCATTGGGATTATAAAAAAGGAGGCATCACTTAGTCATTCTCAATGCAAAAATTAACAGCATATGGGTATTTGAGTATCTTCGGAGGTCAAAAGAGGGGGTGTCAGATTCTCAGGAGTAAGAGTTGCATATGGTAGTGAGCCATCAGAACTCAGGTCCTCTGCCAGGGCAGCAAACACTCTTAACTACTGAGGCATCTCTCCAGTCCCTGTTAGGAGCTTTCTTTATACAATTTTGAAAATGCTCAAGAATTGGCTCTGAGAATGGTTGCATATGCCTATAACCATATTCACAACCATTTGATGTGTGAATTGTATGGAACGTGAACTGTTTCTTACTCAGTTTTCACAGAAAGATGTCTTAGCATCGCCTTCTAATTCTTTTGGTATGCAAGATGCTTCCTCTGGGATCCTTCGGTCCTTCTGGAAGATGCCAACGTTTGACCTACGTATGGGTTCTGTGGAGAGTCTTCAGTATCCTCTTTCAAAGTGTATTTCATGGTACTTTAGAAAAACAATTTATGAGTGTATGTATGGAGGTGCCTACAAAGGCTAGAAGATGGTGTCAGGCCCCCTGGATCTAGCGGATTAAAAAGTTGCAAGCTGCTTGATATGGGTGCTGAGAACTGAACCTGTGTCCTCTCTAAGTCATCAAGGGCTCTTAACTACTGAGCTGTTTCTTTAGCCCAAGTTATGGTATTTTTACACAAAGCAGTCAATTCTCAGACACAGGTGGGTAAGGGACAGACAGGCATTGGTTTTGTTTGGATCCTTTCATATGTCCCCATTCCAATCTTAGGGTCCTGTCCTTTATGCCCTGTCACATGAAAATCTTGCTGAGACTATAAATTCAAAAGACATTCAGGGCTCAGCAA